CACTTCCTTACCAAACAACTTGTTTGTCATGCCATACGATTCATGGGAACCTTTGGGATCTCATGTGCTTCCTTGTGTACAGTACATATAAATTCCAATAAATCTTGCTCTTTTCCACTCCATCATTATCTGTGAGACCCTGCAGAAGTGGTGACTTGAATCTGTGAGTTGGGGGTGCGGATGCCTGTGAATAAGGTTAGGGTTTTCCCTTCCTCCTCCTCCTCCCTTCTCTCTTCCTTTTGTCCACTCCCTTTATTAGTTTCTTTTTCCTCTCTCATTTTCTTCTTCTCCAGTTGATTCCTGTCGATATTGATGGTGAAAGATATAACTAAAGCAGTTTCTTGGTATGTGTATGCATGTGTGTGTTTCTTTTCAATTTATAGATACAAAATATCTAGCGTATTCTTGTTTTGTAGTTCAAAGATCTATTATTTCATTTGATGATCCTATTCTATCTGATATAATTATTTTCAGAACTTAATCTTGATGTATTTAGTTGTGATGTTTATGCGGATCAGGTCTTTCTGAAGTTTGTAAACATATATCTCAGGTTGAGTCTATAGCTGGTTCCTTTTGTCATGGATAAGATTCCATCAGATTGCCCCTATCCAGGTTGCTTCTTCTGTGTCATGAAGGAAGGCAATCCCAGCAAGCGTAGAACAAGTATTCTGAAGTTCTTCAGAGAGCTTCCGGCACAGGATGATGATGGCCAAGTTCTCCCTGTTAGTGGCCTTTGGAACACTGCCATGGCTCATCCAAATGATCCTGAGTTCATTAATTTGGGAATATTTGAATGCATGACTGCATTAATATGGAAGGGCTTAAAAAACAGGCTTTGGCTTTCACATGACCAGAACATATATATTCCATACTATGCAGCTCATATAATAGGTTCCTACTCAATGAATGTGGAAGAATTTGCTGAAAGAGCGGTTCATGCTGGAGTCATTCCTCCCTTGGTTGAGCTTTTAAGAGGTAGACTTACCTGGGTGGAGCAGAGGGTAGCAGTCAGGGCACTGGGGCACTTGGCAACTTATTCTAGTACATTTCCAGCAGTTGCAAGTCATGGGGAAGTCCTCGAGCTTGCCATTCAGCTCGCATCAAGTTCTCTAGAGATTGTCTATTCTCACTTTTACCAGTTTGTGGATAGGAGAATAAGCTACCATTGTGATCTGCTTACTCGTGGTATGGGAGGCGTGGAAATGGAATCCAGGAAGGCAGAGGAATGGGCCAGCCAGCTGCAATGCTGGTCTCTTCAGCTTATCAATTGCTTTGCTTTTAAGCCAGAGTTTCTCTTTGACATATGCAAGCCAGAATTTTTGGTCAAATTACCAGCCATGTGGGGTGGACTTGTTAATGAGAACTCACCAGCAGGTATTGGTTTGCTGCACACAATTTGTCAACACAAGCTTGGCAGGGGTCCTGTTGCTAACTGTCCTGGTGTTATCGAAGCACTATGTAACATTGCTCGATCATCAGATGACTGGCAGTATATGGCTATCGACTGTCTTCTTTGGTTACTTGAAGACCAGAGCACTTCAAACAAGGTAAGGCAATAATAGATTCCTTGTATTCCATGAAATATTAGGCTGTTTATTGCTTTGTCATGAAAGAAATTGCATAGATTGGTGAGTGGCTAGTTTGTACACTTCAATGTGCACTGCATAGGTTGTTCCATCTCCTAGCTTCTAAGAGATTTTTTTTTTTGCATTATTTTACTTGTTCAACTTCCTAATTGAACTTTCTTATGACAAATATGCATAAGTTACTTCTTTCAGTTGCAACTGGCTATGTTGGCATTCTAATCTGAGATTCAGTAAATCAGAGTTGCACACCATTCAAAATATCTTGGTCAAATTTATATGGTATGTATAAAACTCTCCTGCAAATGATTCCTTACCTATATAACATCAAGATGTGGCTTGATTTTACAGGATGGCTGCTATAGAGGGGACATACGAAATTGTAAAACGTAGAATAGGCAGTCTTGAAGCAGTTATATCCAAGTCATGTTGTCACTGAGCTTAGTCATAAAATTTATTTTATAGCTAATATTTACTCACCATATCAACTTTATAGTCTTAGTGTCTTTATGTTCAAATCTAAGAACAGCTTAGTCCTTTTGAAAATGTATGAATCATGTGATGCATTGCATGGTCTGGAAAGAGAATAATTTGTGGGAGGTCTAGATGAAGTTTGTTGGCTTTGTGGTCTCAAGTAAACTGTTATCAATTCCTTCATAGCCCATGCATGATGAATCAGATTTCAGTTGTATTTTTTATTCAATGAGTATAAGCCTGCGTAATAGTTACAACATTAATCTATTACAGTCGTTTGAGGGTCTATTCATTACATTTAATAGGTGATAGATAAGGCAGCTCCGGCACTCACAGATTTAGCAGAAATTTCTGCTCTTGGTGATCATAAAAGATTAGGAGACATCATTGTTAATGTCCTTCAAGAACGCTGCCAGGCACAAGGGACAGCACGCAACTATATCAGCAGTCGTACAAAAGAACAGATTGATGAGCTTTTGAGCTCGAGGCAGAGAATAAAATGGGAGAAGAACATGCCAAAGGAGGATCTCCAAATAAAACAAGCTGCAGCATTGGTTGTTAAGCTTGAAGGAAACTCTTTATTCTCTTCAGGAGATATTTCAGGGGCTGCATCAAAATACTCTGAAGCTTTGGCACTGTGTCCAATGAAGTCCAAAAAGGAAAGACTTGTATTGTACAGCAATAGGGCTCAGTGTTATCTTCTCTTGCAGCAGCCACTGGCAGCCATAAGTGATGCTACACGAGCGTTGTGCTTACATAACCCTCCTAATCGTCATGCAAAAAGCTTATGGAGAAGAGCCCAAGCATATGATATGCTTGGATTGGTGAAGGAGAGCTTGTTAGATGCCATTCTTTTCATTAATGAGTGCTCTCAGTCTAATGATCCTGACCTTTCTTTAAGGCACAACAAAGTTCCTGATTATGCTGAAAGGTTAGTGAAGAAGCAGATGCATGCTGCATGGTTATTCAGAGAAGCAGCTATTAAGCATGGGGGCATTCCTACCGAGGATGGATCTGGAGATGTCTATGGCCCAGAAGCTGATGATTCTGAGTGGGAAACGGCTAGTGAAAGTGATGTAGAAAATGGTGGACAGGAAGCAGATGACAATGAAGAGAATGATGACATCCGGAAGGATATGTATGACAAGTCAACTACAAAAGGTATCAAACTGATCTTTGGATAGGAACTTGGAGGAAAAGGAATTCACTGCTTTAAGTTTGAGATTAGTGTAGTTTTCTTCAAAAAGAAAAAGGAAGTTTATGATTAGTGTAAGTATTGTGAAGAAGTTCAAATTTTTCTTGATGTAATAATATATCAAGCTTTGCAAGTTTCTTAATATATTGATTGACACTTTTTTTATATTATTACTTATTCTCCCTATACGATATGACAATTTAGTATAATGTTCAGCTAATTGTAAAACCTTAACTAAACAGTCGAAGTCAGAAAACAAAGGTTTAAGTATGCTTGTCTGGG